GTTAGTTAGTTAGTTAGTTAGTTAATGCATCATCAAAACCGTTCTAGCCAGCCCCCTCCCCCTCCCCGGAAACAAAGAAACCAAAAAAAAAACCAAAAAAAAAAAAAAAAATAAAAATAAAATAAAAGGAGAAGACATGACTGGCAGTTGGTCCATTTGTTCGTAAGACCGCGTTTCCTCTTGGTCTGCATTGTTTGTTTTTCTGGTTTTTAAATTGTCCTCCCATCTTCTTTTTTTTTTTCTTTTCCTTTAAAAAAAAATTCTCTCGGAGTCCTTCATGCCTTTTTTTTTCTTTACAGCTCCTCAGATGCAATAAAGTCTTCCTCAAATGTACAGTATTTCTTACAATATAAGTTATATGCAATGTTCAGCGTTTTTTATTTTATTTTATTTTATTTTTTTCACAGCACTAGAGATCCTGTCCAATAGGGAATGCAAGTTCTGAATGGCTTATTCACAAATGGTATCCAGATTCAGTGGGTAAGAATACATAGACGCCATAGTGAGTTCCTTTAAAAAGTGGCAAACATCACTTTTTTAAAACTTTTTTTTTTTGCTTTTTCTCTTTTTTTCTTTTTTTTCCTTTTTTGTGCTTTTTGTAGTTTTTTTCTGTGTTTTTAATTTTTTTCTCTCTCTTATGCCTTCAAATAACTTTTTTTTTTATTTTATTTTTTTTTAATCCTTTTTTTTTTTCCCCCTCCCATTTGATTCGGGACGTCAGACCCATAACCACACGCCTGCAAAAATGCAAGTATATAAAGTAAATCTCATTTTGAGACTGTAAGCATTCAGCAGGGGAGTCTCTTGCTAACCCATGGCAGTGACCATACTGGAAGGATGGTGAGGTCCAAAGGAGAGGCTGGATGGAGGATGCATCGGTGTCGGTGTAGTCAGCATGTGGCTGGAGTGACTGAAAGGTGAAATGTGGCTGATGGAGGACATGTGTCTGGAGAGGGCGGCGGGGTTAAAGGAGCTGCTCTTGGGAAAGTCTTCGAGGTTGTCATGGACCTTTTTGCACTTTTTGGATTTGCTAGACATTTTTCGGTTTCTGGTCTGAATTCCTTCCTTCTTCATAGTCAGGGGTCTGTTAATCTAAACAAAAATCAATTATTTTTTTTGTGCTTCCATCCCTTCTCCCCAAATCACCATAGGATCCGTGTACCCCATGCCCCATATCCTGGGGCTGTGCCCAGCACCAGCTGGTTGGCAGCCCCCCTCCCTCCCTGTACACCCCATTTGCCATTGTTACACAACCTCTTCCCCTGTGCCATGGCTACACAAACACTCCCCATCCACCCCAAAATTCAGATCCCACCAGGACATCCCAAGTTTGGATATTTCTAAACACAAGACAACAGAAAATTTCTGGCAGAGCCACATGGGAGCAAAACATACCCGAATAACTCACAGCGGCTGAAAAATTTCAACTATCCGCACATTAGGTAATTGCACCCGTGTTTAGGAACAAAACCAATCATTATCACCTAGAAATACTCCCCACAGACACCATCTCACCCCGAGGCTTCCTGTCTGATCTAAAACCATTATCAGCAAGAGTTGCTGGGATTTCAGTGCTATGAGGGGTCTCAAACTTTCACAGTGGCATTAGGGAGCTGGGTAACTCTTCACAAAAGTGTCAAGTCTTTGTTTTATTTTTCTGCTTTCCAAAGATTTTTCTCTAATCATCCTTTCTGGTTTACTTTAGCCAATCTGATTTTACTTCTAAAGCCTTTCAGGTTTTTTTTGGGGGGGCTGAAACAGGTATCTGTGCTGCCCAGCAGAGCATTTTCTACTTGCATACAAACATATCTGTAGTAAAATTAAACATTAAATTCTCCTGTATGGATCTACACAGCAGCAATTATCATCCATCAAGGTTAGGAAGTGGTAGCAAAAATCTATTGGACCCCCTGCAGGAAACACTTATTACTCTAGGTCGTTCTATGTAGGGACGGGATTTGGACTTTGATGATCCTAATGGGTCCCTTCCAGCTCAGGCTATTCCACAATTCTGTGACTCTCTGCTGCATAGAGAGACAGCATCATAATATGCACTAGAACAAGTGACATGGAACCCCCACAAACCACACTTGGGAAGGGATTTATGCATCCAATATCCATAAACAACCTTAAAAATATGGACTTGGGGGTCTGTGTGGGTATTGCACTGGTTCCCCTGCAGGATTTCACCTATAGCAGAAGGCAGAGGAGCCCAGCAAATCACCCTGAGGTTGAACCACCTTTCTTAATAAAAGTGAGCACGTGATGGCACGAGGGGCATTCTGCAAGAGGGAGAAAAGATGAACCCCCTATCCACCGGGATCTGCTGTCTCAGACCCAGCAAAGGACAATGGAAAAATGTGCCTGCAAGGGTCCTGAGCAGCTCTTCACCCATAAGACCTTAAATCAGCACAAGGAGCAAAGCATTCCCTTCTACGTGAACACAGCAAAGTTTCACTTGTTGCTCCTCATTCCTGGTCCTTTTCCCCACAGCATGTGAATCATTCTTGGGTTTCTCTCCCCAGGGAAGCTGGGATACAATAACTCCCTGTTACAGGCAGAGATGGAGTCACAGGAAGAGGAAGGACCAGGCTCATCTCCAGTTTAGGCATTCCCAAAGTTCATCATGTCAGTCTGAATTTGTGACCCCAGGCTCTCTGCACCAGCAGTGATAGGAACCTTCACCTCATCTAAAAATGGGTGAATTTTTACATGATTCCTCTACCTCAGGATGAAGGGATCATGAAGGAGCTGCCCTGCTTGCCAGCAGCTAAATTTAGGAAGGATCTGCCCATGTGCAGCCCAACAAGAGCCCTGGGGCAGCAAGAAGCAAAACTTCAAATGTGATGGGCTCCAAATGCAACACCACCTGTCTCCCTGGGTTCCTGTCCTCACTGAGGGAATGGGGATCCACACAAAAGGAAGGACCTTTGCTCCAGATCAGTGACTGGGATGGGAAAGCTTTGCCTGGCCTGTGTTCAGTCAGCCAGCAGGGATGTGTTGCCCAGGTTCAAAACCAGGAGGAAGTAGTAAGGGAGCCCCACCAGGCAGCAATGCTCGAAGGGACCAGAAAGTCTGAATCCCTGATGAATTCCAGCTCAGATTTGAGGAGGCCCACACAGCCCCAGTCTCCCCAGCTTCTAATGAGGATTTGTATCATGACACAAAGACCCAGGACCAGCCAGAACTAATTTGCAGGTGAAGCAGCAAAGGTGCAAGCTCAGGAGCTGGTGGTGGCAAAGTGACATAAGCCTGGTGCTGGACTGGGGCTGTGCTGGGTCTTGGAGCAAGCACGTGGTCCTGACCCCATGTTGCTTGGTGTCATGTCCCTCAGGACAGTGAACACCTCCTCAGAGCAACATCTCTCATGTTTCACTCAGTCTCTTAGAACAGGTTGGCCCAGGCCATGATTTGATGTGAAACTCAAGGATGGGAATACCGTTTTTGTTCAGGATGGTGGCAAAGCCATGGCCAGCCCCACCACTGGGGTCAGAGCTGCCATCCAAGCTGTTGGCTGGACACATCATGTGTGTGTGTGCATGGTCTCACACTCCTAGCAGGTAACCAATCCCAGTGCAAATAGATAAGAACTCTGATAAATGCAAGAAAGAGTGAGACCGGCACAGCTGAAGCAGCAAGCTGGAAAATTTTTCCAGTGACTTCAAAGACCATTCACAAGCAGGGTTAAAGTGGTCCCCAAAACATCAAAGGCATGGACCCATCTCTGTTTCTGGGGTAGAGAAATGAAAGACCCAGAGGGAAGACCTTGTCTGTGAAAATTCGTTCTGATAAAAATGACAAACACATGCTAAATTAAAATTAAACCAGCCCAACGCATGTATATGAAATTCATTAATTTCAGATGGAGCCAATTAATTATGGGCAGGAATTATGCTCTTTGTTTTATCATATGCAAAATACTGACTGCTCTGCTCTTGGGACACACAGCCCTGCTTTAGGGTATTGTGAAAGGGGCCTTTTCTGATGAATTTTGCCAAAAACAGTGGCAAATCACTCAATTCTATGGGTACAGGCCAGTTTGCTGTGCACCTCCAGCAAGGTACACACTCCCACCCATCCCTGAAGTGCACAAAGGCTCATCCCGCTTCTAAGGACTGAAATAACAAGGATGAGAACCTCATATTCAACAGATCAAATGCAGGGGATAGTCTTAACCATTATAGGTCTGATCTTGCTCTGACTGAAGACAATGGGATTTTGCCATTGACCTCAATAAGGTCCTGTCACTGAAGCGGATTTATCCTTCAGACATAGTCATTACAATGTTGGGTTAATCTTCCAGGCTGGCTGTATCTTAGAAAGCACTCTGGGATGCCACAGGATGAAAGGCACCATATCAATGTGAAATATTAGTCATTGTTAATACTGGTGTTAATGGAGCCGGCTCTTGTTGAAGTCAGTGGGAGGAATGCCAACAGCTCCACTAAATGCACCCCAAGACTATTATGATTATTGCTTATATCCTACTGACAAATGGGTTTGCTTAAGCTGTGGGAATCAACAGTAAAACAAACTGATATAGCTCCGTGAAAAAAATGAACACCATGGAAAAAAATAGCCTTTTCACTGCAGTCATTCCCAGTGTGGACATAAAATCTGGGTAAGTTTCAACTGCAGATCAACACATGAAAATATCCTAATGATGTTAAGGTCCAAGAAAATTTCATTAAACCGAAAGAAAAGAAAAAATGGGGAGGGGGATGGATAAAAAAGCAGCCAGGAATTTGCTACAGCCTAGCCCGAAACAGGTTTAAGGCATCTTCTGAGCACCCAGACATTCCACTGGCATTGGCACAACATCTGTGCCGACGCTCAGGTGCTTGGGAGGGACATGCTACAATCAGCCTCTCTATTCCTGATGCCTCTCCTGATGTAAAACCCACAGAGAAAAGACACACGCAGGGAGCAAGCTCACACTTCTTACTGCAGTCATAGTTAAATATTTTAAGAATTTCTTTTTTTAAAAAAGGATCTACCCACTCATATCTAGATTTTAGTACCCTTGCCTACTTATGCTACTGCACACAGGATCTAAGTCCTCTGGGGGGTTCATTTAAGCAGGTCCCATTAATGGAGTTGCTCATAAGGCAAGATACTACTTGACTTTGGTAAGTAGCTCTGCTGAGCTTTTAAGCAGCTGTTGGAGTTTTTAATGAACATGAAAATGGTTCCAATGTGCTCAAGGCCTGCCCCATGTCACAGATTTCACAGCTGGATCTGCGTTTCCCTAAACAGTGGATCTGGGGGTCAACTCAGGCCAACCAGGTTTGCAATGTCAGTGAGAAAAAGAAAAGGATGTGCTCTTGCAGGCACATTACTGGAGACCCCCAGCACTCAGACACCATTCCAGACACCTTAGGAAGGATTCCTCCAGTCAGATGTCTACAATGAAGGTAGACACTCATCATCCTGCCCTCTTTCTGGGGAGAAACTACATAACCTTCAAGTGCCCAAGTCATCTCATTCAAACACAGGCATCAACCAGTGTCATTTGGGAAGAGCCTATTTTCTACAAAAGGCTTTACTGGATACAGGAAATGTAGCTCAGGTATAGGTCTCCCAATAAATTTCCCAAACTACACAATTTAAGTCCTACCACTGGTGCTACAAGACCAAAGTGAAAACGGAGCACAAGCACAGACTCCCCCAGTGAAGCTGACTGACCTTACTCCCTTCTTGCCAAGGAAATAGCAAACAGAATATTTTCTTGTGATATTCTGAGAGCTTTCGCTCTGGGTCCAGCCTGTTTGTTTGCAGTGATCACACTGAGAGTTTGATGACAAGCTTTGCTTGCTACATGGGACTCAAAACGTGCTGAGACACCTGCCCGCTAAAGAGTAAACACATTTTCCTTTTTTCCAAGAGAGATGCCTCCCATGAAAAAGGTGAAAAATTAGCCTGGTTGTTTGCTGGCTTTTTTTTCTACTTAATCCAAACTTGTTTACTCATCCCGAGAAACCAAAGAGCTTGAAATAACAAATGGAAGAGACTGAGACACCACATGGGTTGGGTGCCCCATGAAACACAGTATGTCTTTGATGTGTTTGCATGGGTGGACATAAGGGCAAAACACAACCCCATATTTCTAAACCAAACATAAAGCAATCAACCATTTGGGGAAAAAAAATAAAACTTTATCAAAGCAGAGAAATTGCAAGCCTTTTCCTCCTTCTGACACAATAATTATTCTAATGCCACGTGGAATGAAAGTAACAGAAGAAGCCTTAAGTGTCCTTTATTAGTGCTATTATTCAGTAGAAAACTTTTCAGGTCCCTTTAGCTCTTTCCCTGGGGCACATATCACTGGTTTCTGCAAGCTGGCTTTGCATGGAGATATTAGATTAAATCTGCCAGCCATTTCATTTCATTTCTCCTTCCCTTCCATGACAGATGCTTTAAAATTCACATCACAGGTTGAGCAGACTCCGCAACCCACTAACTAAATCAAGTCCTTTTTTGGTTTAGGAATCGCTTGCGTCAAAGAGGGCAAACACAAGACCGAAATAAATCATCTTTGGGGACTGGACAAAGGCAGCCACAAAACCAAGAATGATCTAAATGCTGGCACATTTTGCTTTTTTCTCCAGAGTTTGTATTTGCTGGAGGAACCAAGCTACACATAGTCGGGGTATCAGCTTGCAGGACGGCGTGTTGTCTTTTCCAACCCTCTGAGCCCAATCAGCAGCAGATAATGTCTCTCTGTGTTGATCCACCCCTCCTTTCTTGGCTCAGGCATGGGAAAGCTCTAACATTACCCATGGATAGCCCTGTTTTATACCTTCCCAAGTTGGACAGGCTATGTTTGAAAGGCTGACAACTCATCCCTCCAGCCCCCAAGGTCCCCAAAGGGATAACAGGGTCTCTTCCACACAAGACTGGAAATCCTTAAGTCAAGGAAGAGTTTGGACCATCAAGCACTGGAGCTGAGGCCCTGTAATTGAGTGTTACAGTCACACTTACATTGTGCAGCTTGTAGTAGAGCCCGCAGGCGTTACAGACGGGATCGCCGTTGGCATTTCTCCTCCACAGGGTGGTAGTGGTGGTCTGACAGTTTGCACAGGACGTGCCCGCCCTCCTGGCTGCAGACTGGGGGAAGGAGGGAGAGAGACAGGGGAAGAGAAGGAGAGAAAGAGGAAAACACCAGTGTTAAAAAAAAAAAAATTAAAATAAATGCGATCAGCAAAATTTCTGAGAAAGAAAACATCAACCCTGCAAGACTGACGCACATCGGCAGAGGCCTCCAGAAACTGACTTGTGAGAACAAATAATAATTGTGAAAAAAATCCCCGAGGTACTTTAATCCCAAATTATATGTGAACTGAATCAGGTGCCAAAGGGCATCCTAAAAGTGAGTGCTAAAACCTCTGATAGAACTCATCAAAATTAGCAGCGCTGGCACAGCCCATTCCAGAGGGGAAAATGTTATTTAAATGCCAACGTGTCTTTCCATCTTAACTCTCCCAGACCCCCCGAGGGGTCTAATTCTGCAGTCAGGGCCTGAACAGTCAACGGGCATGAGTCACGGCGGCTCCGGCGAGCGCCGGGTGAGACCCGGGTGGGCAGCTGCTCGCCGGGACCGACCGCGGGCACAGCCCGGTCCTGCAAATTCAGCTCAGCTTCAAAGGATACAGGATCCAGATCGGAAATAACACTGTGGCAAAGAGCAAGAATCCCAACTTTTTTAATTACACCCTTTTTGCAGCCCAAACCTTCATGTTTATTTAAGAACTGGTAAAGAGCCCGAGAGCAGGATTTACCATTTCAAAAAGGGGTAGGAACAAGAGAAAAAAAAAAAGTCTATGTGCCAAAGTGTATAGAGAAGCTTTTTCTTTTAGCTGTGAAAATGATTTAGCAAAGTCAAATTTAGTAAAGTCGCTCTCCTTTCACATGCATGAATTTGTGTTATCATTTAAAAATTGTAACTTTAGAAAACAAATTGCTCTTCTGCCACTGAAGGAGGAACAGGAGTTTTCGGACTGCGGCGTGAGCGCGCATGAGTTTTTGCGTGTGCAAGTGCCTACAGCTCCCAAAAAAAAAAAAAGGGCCTTTATAACCCATCCTATCTCTTCTTCATCAATATGACACAGTCCCAGAGCTCTGATTTCATCCCCATGCATTGCTTTCAATGGGACTGCTCATGTGCTTAAAGTTAAAACATGTGCTTAAGCGATTTGCCAGATCATAGCAATGCTTGGCACCTTGCAGAACTGAGCCTTTAATGCTCTCTTTTGTGCTCTTACTGTTTCAAATTTACCCCTCACCCCACACAGCCGCACACTGTGGTGCATCCAACATTTTAAAAAAAAAAAAAAAAAAGAAAGAAAGAAAATACCACATCTTTGGATACCGTACAACAAACCCAAAATGCAAACATGGACACTGGCACAGCGTTAGCGTTAATACCAACTCTTGTTAGGTCATGTTGCAATTTTAATCATAATTGAATGCGGCGTAGGTGGAGAGAGAACGGGTTGGTTTTGCTTTAGATAGAGGAGAATTTTTTTTTTCTTTTAATTAGACAAAAAGGACTGTCTCAAAAATAAATAAGACAATGCCCACGAGCATTAGGAAGCATCACAGAGGGCCTGGTCTGGCAGCAAGTGGCTCTCCCGGGCTGCCTTTGGGGACAGTTCCATTTTGCCTGACCATAAACCACTCTGAGCCGAGCCGATCCCAAGCCTGAGGAGGCCTTTAACTGACTTCTCCATACTGATGACCAGAAGGAGCTGGGAACAGCAAATGGGTCTCTGGCTGCAAAAATCCCAGTGCCAGAAGATAAAGCATCCCACCATGAGAACAGCAGAGCCCCAAATTGATGTGTAACACACACGCTTCAGTCCTGCCTTCCTCCCAACCATGCCATAGACCCAGATTTGGTTCCCATCAAGATCACCAGGATAATGAATGTGCTTTAAAAGCAGCTCAGAGACAACACCTTACAGAGCTGGGTTCTCATTGAGAGCCGGGGGATGGGTCTGCAGGTCTCTGCCACCCAACTCCCGCCAGGAAGCACGTGTGGCTCCGAGGGACACGAGTGGCTCCGAGGCTTGGATTGAGCCTTTCAGTGGCAGCTTTGCCCTTATCAGACCCAAAAATCAAGCCTAAGGAAATTTCTAAAAACCAGTGATATTTGACTCAGCCCACACAGGGGAAACATCCCCTTTGAAGATATTTGGGGTTTCTACATGGTGCTCACCGTAATTTCTCTTACTGCAAGCACATTCAAAAGACACGCCTGGTCACCACCTTGCTGCCTTCAAACAAACTCTGACATTAAATAAGCAAATAAATCACAACATCCACTGTCTTCTCTAAAACCTCTTCCAACTCCTGTATTTCCCCTACGAAAATTCAGCATCATTAGCTGAATATTTTAAGCTCTTTCAGTCCCAGAGTGTACTTTTTATGCTGTACCAACTTCTACCAGAGACACCGGCAGTGGCCAGGAAACAATGAATAATAACACTATTGTAAAGCTCCCAGGAATGGCATCCACTGAGCTAATCACCGACTAGGGGCCTGGCCATGTCAGTAATGGGATGACTAATTAGTTGCCCCATATCATCTGCAGGACCAGGCCCCATGGCCCAGCTGCCTGTGAGTCCACAACTTCAGAAGTACTGGTAGTGATGAGAAGGTGGAATTGAGGAGGGTGCAGTAGGGACCAAATGCTGATAAGGACGATAAATTAAGGGGCATTTTCAATGTCTGGATTTATCCACAAAGTCACAAGCATAAGTTTCCTAAAATATGATTCCATATGCATGGGCTTACTGAGAAATTGGCTGTAATCCTTCCAAAACCAGCGTGACTGGACATGGAAATGGAGAGCTCTGCGTCCACATGGAAAGGGAAAGGGAGAAAAATTAAAAGAAGGTTTTCTCAGCAGTGACAAGGCTGTCACTGGCTGTGAGAGGGACAGGAATGGTCTCCAGTAGGGCTGTAGACCTTTTAAACAGAGTGATGGTACCATCTGCCTGTTCTTGATCGTCCTACCAACATCTCCACATCTTCCACCTTCCCCCGAGATAAAGCAGAGCTGTCTGAGCCTCCTCACCCAGCAAGGCTCCATCCATCTCACCTAAAGGACACCCTTACAAAAACACTCATTGAATTTAACAAGGCTTGGGCTGCGTTCTCAGCACCTCAGAACTCAGAAGTTCTTTGCCTCCTCTCTCCCACCCATTGAATCCAATCATCAGTTTCAGCTAATCAGCTGTGACCAGAGCCTACAAAACCATCCCAAGGTCATGCAGGAAACTTGAGGCAGAGAGAAGGAGCTGGATGCCCACCCTGAGCCTCCATCCACATGCTGCCTTCCGCCTACCATCACAAGGCAGGAGAGATCCAGTCAAGCCACATCCAGGCGCACAAAACGCGAACACGGGTCCAGCTTTGGTGCCTTCTCATTGTTTTTTTTTATCAGAGGTTAGCAAGAGAAATAAATAGAGATGCAAACAGCATTAGGGATGTTTTTCTTTCTTTTTTCCCAGACAGTGTTAAGTGGGGAAAAAAAAAATGTAGAAAAATCAAATTTCACGTTTAGGAAAGGTCGCATTCAAAGAACGGGAACTTTTTGTAACTTAAACTTTAACTAAAATGCCGAAAGATTGGAGCGATTATGCAAGACAAGGTCTCTCTTTACTTCTTTTCTTTCTCTCTCTTTTTTTTTCCCCCAAGAATGACCTTTTACTATGTATTTATTTATATAGTTCATTTTACATGTGCCGGGCTCGGGGTGACTCGGGACATTCTTTCGTGGTTCCATCAGACACTTTTTGAAAGCTCTCCCCCCCTTTTCCAGCCGCTTTCCTATTCTGCCTCCCCCTCCGCTTGTTTGGATACGCTCAAGCTCCTGTGTGTTTGGGCTGGGGAAACGGAGCTGTTGTTTAGGAGTTATCTCCAGGGCTCAGATATCCGGCAGCTTTTTCCTAGGAAGTTAACTTTACACATAAAGAGAGAACGAGGGAAAAAAAAAAAAAAAAAAAAAAAAAAAAAAGGAGGGGGTGTGTGTATAAGACAGAAGGGCCGGGGGGAGGAGGAGAAGAGAACAAGAGAGCTGCCCAAAAAAAAACAAAAAAAAATCAAAATTCCAGCCTGTACTTCCCTCCCTAGAAAGCTTTTCCTTTTTTCTAACAAGGCTATGAAAGATGAGGGAGACAGATATTTTCCTATATGGGAAAAGCCCATGGAGAGGTTTTGTACGCAGGAAGTTTGGGGGATAAAGCAACAAACCCACAACTTCCCCAAAACTCACATGACCAGACAGAGCTGTCACTGCTGCTCTCCACAGCATAACCCCTCCTGGGAATGTACCCTGCAAATGCATCCCAGTGCCAGAGGGAATAAAGCAAATCCAATTTTAGGGGCATCTCCCAGGTGAGGAAGCTGATCCACATCTAAGAGCTGCCGGACAGAGGCCGTGAGCACCTTCACGGGGAATGCAAAGCCAATGAACCAACCCTCTCCTGCCTGCAGTGTCTGCCCATGCCAGGCACAAGCCTCACACAACTGGCCAGACCCATCCATCAGCTCAGAAATTCCATGGAGAGGTGAGAGCCACTTTTCCTCTGCATTTTGAGCAGCTCCCAGGAGCCCTTCCACACCTTTAATCCTGACGAAACCAAACGTGCCTCGATTCGAAACATTCAGTAACTTCTCAAGCAGTGACCATAATTTTTTCCCCCTCTTGATATACTTTTTTCCCCTTGTGATCTCTCTGATTATTTGCCAAATATACTTCAGCATATTTATTAGCCATGCCCACAGCTTCCAGACCTTTTTGTGGCTTCCAGGAAATTGCATGAATAGATCGCTGAGGATGCCGAAGTGTGTTGCCTGTACGTAGAACAGTTGCCAGGCTTGTAACTATTATTTCAAATGTTTACCCGCACATTTCATCTTCCTCCAGCTTCTGTGGCCTGGGCACACACTCGGCTTTGCACACCCCCATCCCCTGCCTTGTGTCCTCGCTCACACCAGCTTAAAGGGGAATGACACAATTTGAGACCCAGATGGCACAGGCACAAATGACCACACCGGGTACCAGCGGCACCAGGACCTGATGGTTCAAGATCTCTGCAGGACCAAGGTCTGTCTAATGCCCCACTGACACCTGGGATCCAGTTTGGGTCCCTTCTCCATGACATCCCCAGCCAAGGGGGATGGAGACACACGTAAGAAGGTGGAGGCAGCAGTCTGGAGAGCCCAGCAGAAATCCTGTTCTCCTGATAATCTCTTTGGTCACTAGGAAAGTATTATTCTGCCCTTAAGCCCTGGTAAGAGCCACCATCCATGGGTCATCATCCAGAAGCACTGTGTGGAGGCATCTGTCCCATTGTGACCTGGCAGAAAACTCAGTTCTGGTTTGCAAGAAGCCCTGGATCTTGATTTTTTAACCTGTTTTGCAGTTTTCAAGAGGACCAGACAACTGAGGCCCACAGCAGCTGGGATCATCTCTCCCAGCATCCCTTTCTCACAGCCCTCTGACGCTGTGACACCAGTGGGAGCTGGTTGAGATTCCCTGTCCATCCCGAGCTGCAGATAGGAAGCAAAAGTTGCAGAAGAAGAAAAAGAAAGAAAAAAATAGAAGGAGACTCACCAGCCTTCTCTTGGGTTTGATCAGGGGCCGGTTCTGCCCGTTCATTTTGTGATAGAGTCCGCAGGCGTTACACAAATAGTGCCCGGTGCCGTCTCTTCTCCACAGGGGGGTTGAGGTAGCCCCACAATTTACACACTCCCTGCCTTCTGGAAACAAGAGAGCACATAGTTCACTTAGGGAAACCGGAAGTGAAATGAGCTGGGGAAAGCCCTCCTCCCCCCAGAACAACTCACAACCTCCCAAGAGACCCAGCCATGCCCGACCCTGCCAGTCTTCCCCAAGCTCAGGGATGTCCAAGCAAAGGTCCAAGGCCATGACTGAATTATGTCCCTGTCACAGGGGAATCTGGTGGGTTCTGATCCTGTTCCCTTCCCCAGCACCACTGTGCAGGCAGCATCAGGCCCGTGTCCCAGCAGCAGGAAAGAGGGATGGTGGCAATGACAATCCAAATGCTGTGGTGGCTCAAGGGGCTCCATAGAGAAGCTCTCACTCCTCCTACAGGTTTCTCCCTTTGTGGGGGGAGGGCGACTGACAGTTTCCCCTCACCTTTAGACTAAGCACTTCTACAACTTTCCAGTCCCCTGTTGCCATATGCACTAGACAAACTTTGGTAGGCTTTGCAAGAAGCCTCCAACCCTCTAACCTTGTTTGGATACAGAATTTAAGTCCATGCCCCTCTTTCTGATGTGTATGAGGACCCTGGTGTCACCCCTTGAGCTCCAGGGGTGTGCATGAGCCTGGGGGGCTCTACCTCTGACCTCAGGTCAAACCACATCAAGGATCCCCAAAATAATCACAGATCAACAATCAAAACATCTCCCTAGCCCCAGCCAGCACACAAAAACTCTGCCAATATCTGCTATTGATTAATTCGCAATTAAGCTTCCACCACCCAAAACTTGCAGAAACCCTTCTGGTTTCCCTACAGCATCCACAGCCTGATGATCCATCCCTGCTGTCTGGGATAGCAAACAGCCTCAAGCCTGCCTGAGCCCTCATTAAGGTCTTTCCTTCCTTCTTCTCCTGCTTTTGGGCACCACTTTATCCTCTCCCTGGCTATTGCAGGGGGCAATCTCCCCCAGCCCACCAGTTCCCAGTTTGGGGGAAGGAACTGGGAGGTTGAGGACGTGCCTCTAAGCTACTTCCAGAGGACTGAGGGGTTTTTCGTTGGGTCTTTGGTTTATTAGGGGAGGTTTTCTTGTACTTAATGCCACTTGTGGCCGACCTGAGAGTAGAAGCAGACCTCAGCCGGGCAGAGCAGAGTGAACTCAACAGAGCCAACTCCCTGCTGCCCCAGCCTGTGCTGCCTTCGAGCAAGAGGCATCCGTGCCCTAACCACAAACAGCAACCGTCTTTCCAGAGCCTTTGCACTGAACCCTTCTCCTCTCACCCCCCCAACAACAAAAAAATAAAATACTTTTGCAGCCATTTCTCCCTCTTCCATCCTGGAAAAACACCCTCTCCCTCCTTTTTCTCCGGCTCTAACCCTCTTTGTCTGCGAGCTTCCAGCTTGACAAAATCAACTTTTAAAGGGGAAAAAAAAAAAAAAAAAAAGAAAGAAAAAAATAGGTGTTGCTGCTGGGGTTGGTTTATCACGAACCGCAGATGTCTTTCTAGAAGGTAAAGTAACAGAAAGTGGCAAAAGGAAAACAAGAGGGGAGGGTGGAGGGGGGCCAAGACGGTTTGAAAATACCGCGCAGCCGGTGCCCCGGCGGGAGCTGTGGCTCGGCGGGCGCCGGGACGGCCGGGGGATGCTCAGCACCGCCCGGGGCGAGAATAAACCGGTCCCTACTCCGGACATAGCACCCGGTCCGTACTGAGGCCAGGCGGGGAGCCGGTCCCGTTAATACCCAGGTCGTTTTGTTCCCCTCCGGTTAAACGGGGCAGCCGCTCCGGGGCTGTTTGAGTCTCTGTCCCTCTCTTTTGTCTCACTCCATCTCTCTCTCTCTCCTGCTTTCATGTACAAAACATACAGGTCTGGGTTTTTTTGTCACTCTAACCGCATCCGGACTCTATTAAAGTTCCTGGCGCTGGATAAACAATGCAACTGTCGCGTGCAGCAGTCTGAAAATAATTGGATTAGCTCAAACATATCAGCTAAATAGAGACAGTCCCTGCTCAGACAGACAGAGTAAATGTCACCCTGGAAAAACCCTGAAAACTGATCTCATTCATGCCAGGCAACCCTGCAGCAGCCTCCTCGGAAAAAGAAAAAAAAATAGAGGGGGGGGGAGAAAAAGAAAAATTTAAAAAAAAAAAAAGAGTTTTGACTAATCGCCCTTTCCTCTGCACACACACAGATACACACCCCTCGGCTCACACATAGCCCTCGGTGCACACAGGGCAAGACCAGAGCGTCCAGCCGCCGGGAGCCGGAGCCGCGCAGCCCCTCGCTCCCCACCCCGCGGGGCGCGCTCCCCCCGAGAAAGGCGGACAGGGGGACACTTTTAGGATCTTTCATCGGGGGTGATCCAAAGCCCCAGGCACGGAGCTGGCTGGAGCTGGGGGCTGCGTGGGCGAGCTCCCCGCACCGCCCCGGGGAAAACCCTCCCCGCATCCCCGGGCGCCGCATGGGAAGAGGCCCTGGGAAGAGCGAGGCGGAGGGCAGGCGGGGGAAGTTGGCCGGGATTTAGCACCATTATTAAAATACAGAGAGATCGCTAATGCTGCGGTTCCCTCGGTTTCGCTTCCTCCCCGGGCGCCGCAGATGAGCGCACCGTGGGCGCTGGAGGGGCCGGGCCGCCACTGGGGCAGGAGCCCCGCGGCACAGGGTGGGTGGTTTGGGCTCCTGGGCCAGGTTCTAACCCCCCAGCCCGCGCTGGACGAGGGATTTGGTTATAAACCCAGCAGAGCCACCTGTGGGGAAGGTAAAGTGCCGTGTGTGTCTCCCCCACGAGGGCTTCAGCCCCCGCTGCTCATCACACGGATGCTTGTGTGCAACTCTCTGCATGCGGAGAGGAGCGAGGGGCGCAGCCCCATCCCTTTGCCCCCCCCGCTTTCCCCCCACAGCTTCCTCTCCCGAGCAACGGGGATGAAGAAGCCAAAAGCCCTACCTGTGCTTGACCGTGCTTTCGGACGCGATTTACACCCAAACCCGGTTGGCGATCCTCCTAAGAGGCTACTGGGGGGAAAAAGTCCAGAGCCATATTCTGGGACATACGGTGGGTAGGTAGTGATGGGGTGATGAGCGGAGGAGGTGGCTCCTCCTAAAGAGGCCATGCTGCTCCGAGAGTGAGAGGACTCCAGCTTCATGGTGTCGGCCAGGGACACCTGGTATTTGATGCATTCCTTCTCGTCCTGCCGGGTGGAGCCAGTGGAGCCAGGGGTGGAGATGGACGGATCCGGGGACACATCTTTAGGAGGGGTCGGCGGGAAGGTGAAAAGATGCGGGCTGGAGTGGCCGGCGGATAAAGTGGAAGAGGAGGCGGGTGGATAGACGGAAAGGGGTCCCGGTGAGCTGTGATGGATGGAGGTCTTGGAGAAGGGGCTGAGGTTCCAGGGGGAAGCGCTGTGGTGGCTGCTCAGCGCCTTGCTCCCATCCAGCCAGGGCAGCGAGCCGTGCAGCAGCGGGGGGCGGCACACCTGGCTCCCTGCTCGGAGAAAACACAGACACATGTCGGCCTCATCCCTCTGCCACCCTGGCAAAGCCCCACGCGGGGGTCCCGGGACGTTCCCCCCTTTTCCTTCCCAAAGAACTCAGCATGCGGGCGGAGCAAGCAAAATCACATCTGATGCGAAACTCCGCTCCTCTTTAAAAATTAAAATTTAAAAGCTACAAGAGCCCGAGGTGGCAGCCCCGGTCCTGCTCAGGAACAGGTCTCCGGGTCGGGACCCTCCGAGCAGGGGTGCCAGCCCTGTGACACGGGGTTTGGCGAGTCCTGCTTGACTGTCTCCCTTTTCCAGGTAATCCCATGAAGACTTTGAAGCAGAGATCCTGCGTGAAATTGCCAAGCCCCGACTGCAGAAATCATGTTTTTTCTTAGCTGGAAAATGATTTCCCGAACGCAGCCGTGGGCTATAGACCCTGGGAATTTTCTGACCAAACGAAGAAGACCAGAAGATGCCCGCAGACATGTTAATAACCTTTCCAATAGGGCTGATAAACTTTGCAAACTGCTCAGTTTGTCTTTTCTTCTTCCATGAGTCTGCACAGAAATGTTAGATGGCTTTTTCGTGGTAATATGGCACATGCAGAGTGTACCAACTGCCTCAAAAGAAACACTCCATCCCCTTCTTATGACAGGAGACATTTCACTTGTCTTTTAAAATACAGACCTGGACTTTGTACAAAAAAAAAAAAAAATCCACCAGATTTACACAGTCAATTTTGTTCCCCTTCGGTTATAAGTATTCTTAAGGGCTTGTACTTAATATTTTAAATTCATCTCGGCCCTTGCTAAACAAATAGAAAAATATATCTAAATAATCCAATCTACCCAAATCTACAGCAACTTGAACAAATTGCTCTAGGCTGGAAAACACAGTTATTCAACTGGAAGAGAGCAAGTTTGTGCCTGCTAATAAAGCCCTGGAAACCTACTGACATCTAGAGAGCCTTAACCTCTGTAGGTATCGTGATCTGTGTATAGAGACTGCTAAATATACAGGAGAGATGCAAACACAGATGTATAGAGGCACAGATAGTTAAAGAGCTGATGTACTGCCGACAGCTATGTTTGCATGGGAGCTCGTGTGTGTCTAGAAAAGCTCCAAACTGGTTTTCACCGTACCAGACATTTGTGAACAATACTGAAAGTAGCTGCTCGAAAGGAAGGGAAGGTGGGTTATACGAATAGAAAGGGTCAAGATTCATTATCTTCTCCAGGAAGTAGCATAGTAAATAATATTCAGGCTAGATCAGAGAGACCGCATTTCCACTTTCTGCTGATATATTGGAAAAAAAGAAATGAAAAGGAAAGAAAAGAAAGAAAGGACAAAGGCTGCTGATCCTTAGAAATAATTGTTTTAAAGGGACTAATAGCAGAACAATGCAGTTACTGAGCGGAGCCTAATGCAGGCTCGCACTCAACAAGTTGCTGAGGGCTGGGAGCAGCCCCCTGAACCCGCTCGGCTCCATCTCCACTCGCTCATCGCACTTTCTTCTCCTTGATTTTGGGGTGATTTCCACTGCAAACCTCGGGGATTTGGACTTCACCACAACAGAGGTCACAGTCCGCCTTCACAAACCAGCATCTGTTCTTTTCCTTCCTTTTTTATTTTTATCTTTTCCCTATTTTTTTTAACCGTACAGGTAAACTCAGGTCAATAAAGACTGAATCTCTCCAATTCTTCATAAAAGGTGACACGAAAGTACTTATCCCTCCATTGACCTGGGCCCCATCGGCCTCAGGTATTTCACCTCCTTTCTAAAAGCTGTGACCCAGGAACAAACTTCACATCGTGGATCATTACCTTCCTGCAGAACCCTCAGGAAAACACACCAGGTCTGATAACTAATTACACTACAGGCTATATTTTTTTAGTTTCTTTCTTATTTTTAGCCCACGTCATGGCGCTGCCCGGGGTGAGTGTGCAAAACTTTCGACCCAAGCCTAACAAGCTCACCAAGTGCGAATGAAATAGCCCAAGCGTGAGGACAGCGGGGTCATTTTCACACCCCTGCTCTCCAGCTTGCTTTACTTCCACAGAGCAGCTTAATCGTGCAAAAACTAAACACAGTATGAAAACACTAACTGTTAACCTAATTAAACAGAGGGGGGAGAAACCGAAGTGAAAGAGAGAGGGCAAAAGGAAGAAAACAAGAGAAAGATGAAAGGGAGAGAATTAGAAGGAAGGACAGCAAGGGAGAGAGAGGAAAAAGAGGGAAGAGGGATGGGAGAGAGAGGACGAAGAAAAAACTAAGTAGAAAGAAAGAAAGAAGGATAAAAAAGAAAGAAAAAAAAAAGACGAGAAAGAAAGAAAGAAAGTGAAAGAAAGGAAGTAAGCCTGAATTTTTATTTATTTCCAATAAGCCAGCCCCAAAATCCACCCGTGACGTAGCTTCCCCGCCGGCAGGAGAGGGTCTGTCCGACAGGAGAGGGGCCGGCAGGGCTCGGGGCAGCGCGGAGCCGCCGGGACCGGCACCGGGAGCGGGGCAGGACCGGGTCAGCCCCGGGGGAGCCGGGTCTCGGCGCGGGCACTCACCGTGGTGGGCCGTGGGGTATCTCTGCACGGTGGCTCTCACGGAGTTGCCGTAGTACGGAGGGACGGGGTTGCCTTGTCCGTCGATATTAAAAAGTACATCCACTTCCTCGGCGAGAGGATACTGCGTGGGGTCCATGTAGGTATGGCCAAGCGTGGGGTGATGCGAGTCCGGGTGCTGCCCATTGAGCACGGCCGGGTGGTGGTGGCTCACCCACCGCGGCTGGTCCGTGGAGACCTCCATCTTCCGCGCTCGCTGCTCCGCCGCTGCTCTTCCTCCTCCTCCTCCTCCTCCTCAGCAAGGCGCGGAGGGCTTGAGATCGGAGGGGGAGACGCTGCTGGAGTTAATGCAGGGCGGGGAAAAGTGCTCGGCGAGTTTGGGGGATGTTTCTGGTTAGGTTTGTTTTAAAGCGGAGGAAGGGGGGGTGATGGTGACAAACGATCGATTCCAAAAGAAAAAAATTAAAAAAAAAAAAAAAAGGAAAGAAAAAACCGGGAAAATAATAAAATTTGAAAAGGACAAAAAAAAAAAGGAAAACAAAAAAAAAATCGGGGAAAAAAGTTCTCTGCGAATTGAGGTCCCTTCGTATCTTCCGCTCTGTTGCAGATGTTTGTCTTCTTTGATCACCTGTAACGAGAGAGAGGAAAGGGAAGGAGCAGAGAGAGAGAGAGAGAGAGAGAGAGAGAGAGAGGCAGGGAGAGAAACGTGCTTGAGAAGTTCTGAACTTTAGCACCTGACTTTTTAGGCAGGAGAAAACCCATCCCATCCCTCGGCAGCCATCCCTGGGAAGCGCCTGCTCTGCTCTGGACCCACCTCTCCCAGCGCCTCTTTCTCTTTCGCTCTCTCCCGGCTCGGAGCGGAGCCCAGCAGCTCCCACTGCGCTCCTGCCGCCCAGCTCTTACTCTTCCTTGGGTTTGGTGGGGGGGGGGTTGGCTTTTTTTTTTTCTTTTTTTTTGGTCGTCGCCGTTGTTTGTTTATTTGTTTATTTGCTCCATTTACACCTGAGAAGCTCCAGTGGCTTAAGCCGGTGAGAACTTGTGCCATTCGCTGCTCCGCAGCCCCGAGTCACTTTGATTGCTCATTAATTATTATGCAACCGAGAAAGGGGGGAACGGGGGGAAAAGAGAAGGGAGGGAGGGGGGTAAATCAAGGAGAGGGTAAAGTGATGGAGAAGAGAGTAGGGGTGAAGGGAAAGAGAGAGGAGAAAAGGAGGGTGGGGAAAGCGGGGGAAAAAAAGAAAAAAGCAAGAAGTTGCTAAAGAAATTCCGCACAAACCTTGGTGGAGAAGCAGTATGTGACCCAGGAGGGATGAAGCTGAAAGTGCTTGATCAGATCAGATTGTGCTCTCTCGCTCGCCCAATTTTTTTCTCTATTTTTTTTCCTCTCTCTCTTTTTTTTTTCTTTCTCTCTCTCTCTTTTTTTTTTTTTTTTTACAGGGAAGGCATTCTTTCTGAAAGGAGCAGGATGGCGCCAGCCGGCTCAGTGCTTACAGACAGCTGTGGCGAGACGCAACTTAAGGAGGTTCCAGTGTCATAAGCCCGGGGGAGGCGGAGCCTGTCCCCGCCTGAGGAGGGGACCGACGGGGCGCTCCGGCCGCCCCCGCGCTGCCCCCACGGGAACCCTCCGGCGACAACTTCTTTTCATTCCCCTCCGCCTTTTATTTTATTTTATTTTATTTTATTTTTTATTCTCTGTTTTTAAGGGGGAAGTTAAGTTTTCCCGCTGTCCCAGAAACTCCGCGAGCGTCCACTCCGGGAGGTGGTGCGTGGATGGGACGCGTTGGGTTATCCCGCTGATTCCCGGGGGGATGCGAGGCGGATCGGAGCCCCCCAGGAGCGGGGATGCGCCGGCAGGTGCGGGACCTCGGGGGCCGCCCCCCGCCCCCCGAAATAAACCCGCCTCTTCTCGTCTTTAGAGCGGCCTCACGCAGGACTGAATTATTGTTATTTTTAAGGACGCAAGCGCAGAGAAACGGCCGCGCGTTCGGAAATAACACGGTTTTGGGGGGGTTGTTCCCCCCTTTCTCGTTCCACTGGGCACGTCGGGGGCGGTCAGGTAGAGATGGGGGGGTCAGTGTGGGGGGCGGGAGGGGACGGGGGGGCTCATCCCTTGCGTCCGGGGGACTCCATCCCATGGGGCTCCATCCCTTGGGGATCCATCAATCCCTTGAGGATCCATCGATCCCTTGGGGGGTTTCGGGACGGGACCGACGGGACCCCCGGGAGCCCCGGCCGGCCACGCCCCCCCGCGGGATCAGCCAATGGGCGACGGGCAGGAACTGGGGCGCCGGCCGCGGGCGGCTCTGATTGGCTGCTCGCCCGGCCCCCGAAGGCGCTGATTGGCTGCCCCTCCGCGCCCCTCCGGGCCGGCCCGGGCGCTGCGTTGAGCCAGGGCATCCCCTAGCGGTGCCCAGGGGGCATCCCACCGGGAATGGGGTGGGAACGGGGCACGGGGACACCGGAGACACCGGGGAGGGGGAGAGGGGAAAGGGAGAATGAGGGAGAGCGGGTGGAAAGAGAGAGACAAAAGACGAGAGGAGAAAGGAAAGGTAGGAAGAGGGGGAAAAAAATGAAAGATGGAAAGAAGGAAGGGAAAAAAAAGGAAGGAAGAAGGAAGGAAAGAAGTAAAGAGAGAAAGAAGTAAAGAGAGAAAGAGAGAAAGAGAAAGAAAGAAAGAAAGAAAGAAAGAAAGAAAGAAAGAAAGAAAGAAAGAAAGGAAGAAAGAAAGAAAGAAAGAAAGAAAAAGAAAGAAAGAAAGAAAGAAAGAAAGAAAGAAAGAAAGAAAGAAAGAAAGAAAGAAAAAGAAAGAAAGAAAGAAAGAAAGAAAGAAAGAAAGAAAGAAAGAAAGAAAGAAAGAAAGAAAGAAAGAAAGAAAGAA